TTCAACTCTTTCAGAAGTCAACTGCTTTCTAAGAAGAGAACGTAGTATGCACTTATTCGCCCTTGGGAGTTTTCTGCATCTTGCAGAATCAAAAGGAAATTCTACAGGAAGTTCGATGACTTATCAAAACACTTCAAATATATTTTTATTGAATCACGATTCAATATGCTTCACATATTTTGTCTTCTGTTCAAGATTATTGAAATATGGCGGTATATAAGCTGCACTGGTCTATCAATAAACGGCTCCGACCAAATTGTCTCCAACGTCCAAGAAAGGTGTTGCCTCATCAAACTTGTGCTCCACTAACCGGAGGCCACTCTTCCTTCACATGTCCGATCATGAGAGAGAAGAATTCCGAGCCTTATGCTGTAACTCTCTCTCTACTGAGCGCGCCATCACCATGACGTTTTGCGTCCGATTTTCAACATCAAGGTATCATTATTGCTAAGAGACCGAAGGGTTAAAGAATCGAAGAACGACTGGCTCGTCCTTCGATTGGGAAACCTATACTTCTCTATACACAGTTTGAAGCTCGGAGGAAAAATTGAAAGTAATGTTGGTGTGTGCTCTGATTTGACGAACCTCTTATCGTTGCGCTTCTCTCCTTTTTACATTTCTCTACCTTAATCCACCGCATTCTTCGAAAGACTTCTTGTAATAATCAAAATAAAAACAAGGGCAGCCTTAACAATTGGCAAAAAAAGGAAAATGAGATAAAATTTATTACATACTTACGACAGTTCCTTAAAATTACTTGGATGTAACAATCTAATTGAATTTTCAATGGGAAAATTTAAAAGTGCAATACTGCCAATACTGCTATGATAGAAGATTCGGCACGATCAAAGAACAAACTCCTCGTAAATCACAGAACTCAACAATTAATGATCAACAACAACAACAACAGCAACTAATAATAATTATTGTTGTAACAGAGCAGAACCAGATACGGTCATCAACAGAACCTGCTCCGAGTAAAGTCAAATTGAGATGATCCAGCCACCATTGCATCACGAGCACGTATTCTTAATAAACTGTTGAATGACGAGCTGCATTACTACCCAGCACAAATCCGTACTATCCGTCGCTCCTATTTATTTTTCGTTAGATTCCTTTGCTTTTCAGCTGATACCACAATAACATCATCGGTTGGTAGTCCTTTTCGGCGTCGTACGGCATCCATGTAACCGCGAGCATGGTTAGGGGAATCTCCTTTCTCACCGTACTCTTCCATTTCTTCTTGAGTTGTTGGTTGCCAATATGGATCCTACAATGAGGAACATTTCTGATACGAACTACATTGCCCTAAATCATTCTACTGTATATAATTTGACGTATCTTTGGAGGTGTCCTTGTGTTTGGGTATGTTGGTATGTGCCTGACCGAAAATCATAACTTCTGTTCTCCAAGACAGAGCGCTCAATTTTGTAAGGGGTAAAGGCGTCAAGTGAAAACACTGAAGATAGGTGGCAAGATGGATAACAATTAATAGGGATTCACTTGAGGCCGTAGAACTAGAGCACTTGGGTCCGTAGAACGTGAGAGGAGTGGAGCATGAGGGGATCATAGAGTCGATAACATGAACTGATATTAAACAACCGATGAGGGCAAACAGGGGCTATACAAGGCACTTACTCTGATACACTCTTCATGTCAACAGTACTAGAACCTTTTGTGAAGATTTTGAGTGCTAGGAACGGCTGGTGCCAAAGACCGATAACAACTGATGAGGACTGATAATAGGCATTACATTCAAAAGTCATAACTACATCAGTGTCAGATGTAAGGTATGACTGAATCGCAGACAACGGATTACAGAAATGATAACAGCTGATGAAACTTATGAGGAAGGGACAGGAGCTCCTCTTTTGTATTCACAATGTTGCTTTTACCATTTGGTATGTTCCATACGATGAGACAGGGTGATGGAGAAAGATAATCAGAAGTGCGCGATAAGAGCACTGATAAATCGACGACTAAGGTCAGTGCCAACTGAGGACAAAAATACCCGATTTATTCCTTGGCTGGTTGCGACTATTACGTATCGAGGTTTTCTAGTCGAGAGAGGATGACGCTTTCATTTCTCTACGACATCATTCAAGACAAAATTTATCCGACTGAAAATAACCTGGAAATCTTGACAACCGGTATTTCACAGTTTACCATCAGTCAACACTAGCAGATACCATTGATTCGGTTGGCTAATTCTGTTGTACAATTCTAGGCGCTGATGCGAGTGTAGACTCAATAAAGGGAAGAACTGAAGAAGAAGTGTAGAACTTTAGTCTTCAATGGATGGTTATCGCATGGATAAACAACATCAGATTAAAGCTTCGTAGTCTTCCACAGACGTTCTATTTCAGTACCAGTGGTCTATTTTGACCGCCCTTCGTTGAGACGCTGGCCCCTACATTCGCAGCGCCTTCATAACTGCGAGCAATTCTACGAATATTTTGAGAAATGATAATTTGATTGGAAAAGATGGACGACGGCTCAGCAGGGAATTTCGACTTGACCTTGGCATCATGAAAGGAAAATGAGATGCACTGACCTTTTGAAGTGCGCATTCGACTTACCATGGTGTGGGCTCTTTTTCCTTTAAGTTCACCCCATCTGGGCAGATGAAGGAGAACGACTATGCGAGAACGCGAGCTCTCTGAGCATGAATTTCAAAATGAACTCTTACTCGAGGACTAAACATTATTCGCTCATTACAGTCATTGTCCCAAAAATAAATGAATATATATGGACGCCGCCTCCAATAACCCACCTCATCAATGAGCTGCCAGTGACTGAATTCAAGCTGAGCGCTAGCCATTCCCGATGTATTTTTTCGTAGATGATCGCAAAATGAGAAGGATTCCACAACCGGCATCAATGCTGTCACTTCAAATAGTCCTGTCGCCTCATTAATATCTTCATTCAGTACCTGAAACAGTGGAACATCGCAAACAAAACTGCAATTATGCGCTGAACATATAGAAACAACATGCTGATCGGAAATCGTGAAAATCAAGATCATTAAATGTCTAGCAACATTAATTTTATTAGAAAGTAAATGAAATATAATTGCCTTAGCCTTCCGTTGTGCCAATACAGCGTGGACTTTCCCAAGAGCTTGACTGGCGGTAGTAACTGTACACCTTAAACAGAAGCAATTTGAAACTGACATCTTCCCTTTATCGAGAAGCCGCCTTTCCCACTTTCTTTCCAAACATAACTGAATGGCAACTACTGGCAACTACTGTGCAGAACTGTCTCCTTATAGGAACAATGGACCCTATTTCTTTGTAAAATCTAACCTACTCCAAGCATTTTATAGGCAAAACTTCGGCCTCGAACGAGACTCGAACCCGAACTTGTGCTTTATGGGTACCGCGCCCTCCACAGCTGATACAGGCTCATCACCTTGAACGTGTGTCTGCTAAAAGCCGTTAGGGAGGCAAGAGCAAACGGGGTATCGGTAGCTTTAGATATAGTGAACATGGTACATGGAAAGCACAAGTATGGGTTCGACCCTCTGCAAGAACCGAAAGTTACCCGTAACTCGCCAGTCTAATGGGACTTTCTTATCGCGTACTGCGGCGAAATTATAGGAATCAACAAAACATCGAGTCAAAACGTTTTTCAAAGTTTTTTACTTTTTTTTTTGAATAACCCTCCGAAACGAGTGTCCCATGAAATGATGTAAGATTAATCCTCAAAGTCAAGTTTCCCAATGCAATACCAGATCTACCTTCAGTCTCAGTGGCGCATTATTCAATTCCTGTTCCTACTAGCAAACTGAACTGTAATGGTGATGACTTCGCATAACGCAGCCGTATGGGATTAGCAAGATTCAAGACGGACTTGCGGACCCATTTACTTGCGTCTAACATTACCGTCTGACAGAAGTTACCGGTAGCACAATAAAAATTCACAATCGAAACGTAACAGCTACCGATAAGTCGCTGCTACTAGTCGGAGCGCCAACTTCTTCGCAGCCGCTCTGCATGTGTCACGAACCACTGTCATCAACTGGCCGGCAATCGCAGAATCCTTGACAGCACACCATAGTATGGCATAACCATATCATAACACAATGAACTAATGAACCTCCTCATCTACAGTCCATTCTTCAATAATAACCGCAACGCCTCTCATCACTTCGTGGCAAAGTGGACCTGCTGTGACAAAAAGCTCAAAACCGGTCATAACTGCCTGATCGAATGGCCGCACTCCGATCTCGGACTCTGAAGTATTACATTATCACAATGCAAGACAAATATTAATTACTAGTAATAAGCTCCATTCCGAAGATGTAGTTGCTGGTAATTTATTGTATTTTAGATACAATAGTTAAAAAGATATATGAGGAATTTTCTTCCCTAAAAAGTCTATCCTCTCATGATGGCAGGTTCTCTCAAGTGACTACGAAAGAATTGAACTGCAAGTTGTTTGGAAACCTATAGTAGACGATGTTCGGTGGGCAAATCACGCCAGAGGGCGCAGTGTCGCAATGTGTGAGAACGACTATATCGCTGTGCAGTGCATGCGCATCTGAAGGTGGAGTACTTCAGGATCACCTGCTCTGCGAAGGCTTATAAAAAGATACTTGAAGGCACAGTTCACCATAACTTTGGGGTATCCAGTTTTCAACGACTAAGCAATAGCCGCCATAGCGATGGCTGATTTTCTTCGCCCGTATCTATAGTCAAGTATATCTATAAAAAATAAAAAAAAATTCTGGTGAATAAAGGCATAAAAATAAATCTATTCTTATACCTTTATTCACTAGCATCTCAGCCCAAATATTGTGATTGTTAAATGCGCTTAGATAAAGAAGGGAGAACATAGGTCTGTGTTTTCTGCATTTGCTAAATTATCGGTCACAACAGTGAGATATTCTAAAGTATCGATAAAGCCCGTTGTCGCGAATGAACACACACGATTTATGAGTTCGGCAAAGGTCAAAGTGTACAATAGTTCTATTTCGCTCTTACTCAGTCGTAGGTTCTCTACTTTCTATTATACTTGCATTCTTTGCCTCCTGTCATTCGTAATCTTAGAGTGCAACGAATTGTAGTATAAGAAATTGAAAAAATAACGAAGGAACGTAGAAATACAGCAAAACAGGGAATAGAACCAGTCTGTTAGTCAACCACAAGTGTTTTTCGTTCTTATCACCAGAGCTCTTGAAAACTCACTGGTCTCCCATATGGACTTTCTCCGGTAATCTGGAATCGCGTTGAAAAGGATGTTTGCTTTCGCTCGATCAGGTCCAAAGCTCCAGATCTGCAGTTAAAAACCTTCAGGAGGGCAGGCAGTATCCTCGAACACATCGAAATATTACCTTATCGATCATCTCCGCAATCTCGTTTTTACTCTTTTTGTACCACCACGATCCCCGACATGTGGGAAGATGATCTTCACAGACGCTCAACAACTTGTTTCTGAAAAATTCAAGTGGTGGGACATCGATAAGCACGAGGAAATGGCCTGTGCAAAAATACCTAAAATCAGCTAGCAACCCTTCTTCGATGTTGCCTCTTCTGATCAGATGCAAAACTTCAGCAGATTCTTCCAGTAGGTTGACTATCTCATCTGGTAATGGGACTGCTCGTAGACGGAGGTGCAGCGATTCGCCACGTACTCGGCACTCCTGAATCATTCTTTGCTGCTGTAGATGCGTCAAAGGGTCCCATGTGGACTGAAGAGTGCACCAGAAAGATCTCTGTGACTGTGCATTGATTCTAACATTGAAATTCACATCCGTCTAAGCTGCGAGTTCAATTTCTTGTCAACATTAGGTAGTACAGTAGGTGGAGGCCATTGCTCAAAGGGTTAAATTATTGTTGCGTCTCATCTTATTCTATCGTAGATTTCCCAATCTTCCTCGAAGCTCTACCGAATGATATTGTGGATTGCACTGATTTTGCGAAATATTAGGTTGTAACATAAGTTCGTAGAGTTTTTTCACAAAAGTTTATTTGAAAAAATAGTAATAAATATAATAAAGAATTATTTAACAAATTATTATAATAATCAGCCAATTCACGAGTTGTTTCGCTACCATCTTCCTCCAATATTGCCTCAAATGCTCTTCGTCGAATTCTGCAGCTCGTCCGCTTCGAGGCGTTCCTTCGAGGGCAAAGTCGCCATTTTTAAACTTTGCAAACCATTTTTATGCAGTAG